GTCTCACACTGTCGTTTTGTTGATCTAGGCTATGCAGTTAAGTCCTAACGTACGCTTCCGCCATCCCGCAGGAGTTAAAAACACTTTTTGGAAACTAAACAAAATCTTAATTAACTTTAAAGTGCTTCCGCTGTATTTTAAGCCAATGCCTAATTACTACTGTCCAGTTAAAAGATCTCAAACTCCCGCTTTGTTGACCCTAACCTCTATCTATTTTTTACTTTCGTAACAAAACAATTTAATGATTTGAAAAATAGTAACTAAGGCCAGAAAAGAAAGTTTCGTAGTAAAAATAGTCCCGACTAAGCTACTCGTTCCCTCGGTTGATTGACTTTACATACCGGTATAAGATTTCTAGCCTGACATAATATTAAACCAAATCGCAGAATAATTAAAAGGACAAACACAAATAAGCATAATTATATTAATTAATAAACAATAAGAATTTGTAAACATAAACCTGGCAATAACTCTGAAGACAGAAGCACTCCTGCACAAATTGTAGGTTTTGCTTCGATCGGAGGATATATTTAACCGTACAAAAGAAAATAAAACTGAAAAGAATAATGTTGGAAAGAAATAACTGGAAAAAGAAATAATGCTGAAAAGAATGCTGCTGAAAATAATATTCTGCTGAAAATAATATTCGCTCAATAAAATCTCTAAACTTTCTTGCCAAAAAGAAGAACCCTTTCTACTGTGGTCTCAGGCTCTATTTATAGTGCTTGCTTGATCCGTTGCTCTCGAAAATATAGGTACAATTTACTTCCTTCTTTGAGAAATAATAGACCATTCAATTGTCACGTTCGTTGCTCCTTTGGCTGAGTGGGTGAGAAAATGTAGGACATCGTTGGATTAACCCTTGAACGCGCTTCTGCCCGTTGGATGAGGAGAAAGTGGAGTAATGGGCTGTGACGTTCGTCACACTCAAGTGACTATCGTCACTTGGTCTTCATGGCGCGGCGTGACGTTCGTCACGTCCCCATGACGGTCGTCAGGGCTTTCTTACTTGTGGGCCACGTGCTCACATGTGTAATGGGCTTTTGGGCTGGTTTCTTCTCCTTAGGCCTTTTTACTACTTTTTGCACCCTTTTTTCTTCATTTCTTCAAAAGTGTTCGGCTCGGTGCATATCTGCAAAAATAGAAAAATACCTGCATAATACTTATAAAATAATTTAATTTAAACTAAAGTATGAGAAATATTTGGTGTATATCAAGTCAGAAATATCACATATTTGTGTGTCATCAGTAGTTATCAAAGGCTCCCCCTGACTTTGTGCTTCCCATATCCATCTCGCATATTCTTCTCCCCCTTTGAGAACATCAAAAAGAAAGAAGGAAAATTGTGAGAAGTATCATATTTCAATACCAATATTAATATATCACACGAGAATTTTTGCAAAGAAGAGCATACAATTACATATCCCTATATATATATATATATATATATATATATATATATATATATATATATATATATATATATATATATATATATATATATATATATATATATATATATATATATATATATATATATATATATATATATATATATATGTGTAATTATTCAAAAAATAATAGATAACAAGCATAAAACATTATCAAACATGTAATGCTATTGCATGAACAATAAATGAATGTGATGCAAGAGCAAGCTAGTTAAGTTGTTTCTATAGCGTCACGATTTCGTAACACAACACAGTAGAACTCCCGATGATGCACACGCATGTGCCTAGCATAATGACAAGAACATGTCACTACCCAATCTAAAATGAAAATGTTGTCATAGAATGTGACTCAACTATAACATGAACCGTACATGAAACCAACATGCTTACATTTAACTCACGCACAAATACAAGAAATAATAATAGAAACACATATTTGTAAATACAAGAACAAACTTATACAAATGTGAAATAGTTAATACATAAAGTCATTATAAGCATATACATTGAGAACACACAATGGTTATCAATAAAAAAAAATTGGAAATGAACATTCATGGAATGACACAGTGGTTGTCATTGTTGCGTTTCATGGTCTGAGGATTGAAAGGCCTCTGGTGCACATTAAAATTTGATCTTTATCTATACTATTTTATTGTGTTAAACAAACTGGTACAGTAAAGACTTTTGTAAATGATTTTTGTTTGTGATTTTGTTCTTTGCCTTACTATCTTCGGCTCTATTTATTTTGTGAAAATACTTAGTTTCAGTCTTTAAGATTTGTGTTGATTGTACTCACTAAAAATTAGATACTATGCTTTTGAAGTGAATTTCTTTTGAAGTAAACGTCTGTTAACTAAATAGCGGCAGGATGAAACTCCTTGTATACTAAGTATTAGCTTTGATTATACTATTTTGGTGATTATTGCATGCAAGAATTTTAGGTTTGATTATACACAGTTTGGTGATTATACACAGTTAAATGACAGTTCTGCTAAGTAAACTCCCAGTTCTGCTACTTTGACATTGTTGCGTTAATTCATTACACTAAGGATAATACTTTGATGGCAGGATGATTTTAAGGCATTGACGCATTTGATGACCATGGTAAAGGTTGCTTTCTTATTAGTTATTGAACTAGGGGTTCGTTATTTATTGCAGTTTATGGGAGTTTACTTTACATGAAAACTTATGGAACCATATCTTTGTATATTAATTTTCAGATTTACAAAGTCCCATCAACAAATTCATCCCGTGCATTTGTTGTATTAGTATAAATACATTTTGTTCTCAGGTCACGTCCATTACTATATCAATGATGACAATAACAAAGACGCTATCGCTGCGGGTTACACCTCCGCTGACGACGTTGTTCCGATTAACTTCGGCATGAACTACGATCGCGAGCATAAACAAGGTTCGATCATTTATATCCAATCGGTTAACTTTTTTTTGTTATAAATTTAATCCAGTAATAGTCGATGTTGATTAAATTGGTTGAAATTAAAACGTGGTTAATGTTATTGATTTGTGTGTGAATTTTCGAATGGATCAGGAATTCCATGGATGGAGAGCATAAGTTATTCTTGGTTGGATTGCAGAAAGTAGGGAAAGGTGGTTAGAGAGGAATCTAAATCCTAATGATATGGCTTCTGCTGCAGTTGCTACCGTAGCTTCTTTAGTAGCCTCTCATTGCCTTGAGATTGCAAAATATATGGGAGCTGAACATGAACAGATTGCAACCGCAGTCGTCTCGGCTATTAATGCAAAAAAGAATGGAGATATTATGACTCTTACAGCTGGAGCAACAATAGGTATTATATTTTTAAGTCAATCTATGAATCTTGAATTCTAACACAAACAAGAGATATGTATTGAAATACAAAATAGCCTTGCGTGAAGCTGCAACTCTAAATGCGCGCCTAAAGAGGGGGATTGGAGCTACTATGATTCCCTCGGTTGAGGATAAGTGTGGCGAAGCCAAAAAAGCAAGCATCCTAACAACACTAGACTTTGTCTTTCAAGGAGGTGTACTTCTCAAACGTACAAGAAAATGTATGTTTGAAAAAATGTTTTTTTTGTAATTGAAGAATAAATTCTAATGCAAATAAATGTTATTTTAAAATTTCAATATTATTTCAAATTATTTTAAATGTTATTTTCAATGTTATTTCAATATTATTTTCAATATTATTTTCAATATTATTTCAATATTATTTTAAATGTTATTTTAAGCAAGTTTCTTTCAATATTCTTTCAAATTTTCAGGTAATTGCTTGAAGAACAAATATCTACATTCATTAACAAATCACGTTTTCAGGTAGTTGGTAAAGTAGTCATTTGATGTTTCCACTTATGCGTGTGAATCTCTTTTTGGTTTGTAAGATCTTCATCTAATTGTGTTTTGTGTATTTTCTCCAGTGTTTTCATTATCATTACCACAAGTATAGACGAGATTAAAACCAACTTTACATATTCACTGATTATTGCGAGATGGTTTACAACATCATACCACATAGATTTTGACATCAAGGCTGGTGCGGACAAGTTTGGAAATATATCTATTTTGTGCGATTGTCACAGATGTATCTGATGAGGTAGAAGAAGATCCTACTGGCGGGAGGGTCAAGTGGGAGCAGGGGTCGCTGAATGGACCTGTTATATGGGGCTGTTATGGGATGTATTAGGGAATTACATGTTTTTCTTGATCAATCAATCATATATAAAATGATCACACGCTTACATGAATAGGTAATAGCTTTTGGAACTTTCAGCTTTTTCATTTATTTGGCATGGTGGTAATTGTGTAGTTCATTCAAAGTTTCTATGGTTTGAAAACATTTCAAAGCAAATGAATCATAGGAAAAAGCTTATTATTTCTGTTTCAGGGATCATAAGCTGACAGGAATTCATTTAGGGACTTAAATTTCTCTTCATAGTTTTCTTGCTGTATTAGTTTTATAAAATTTCAGATTGACAGTCATATTCAGGTTCTCTACATTGGCAGATGTATCACATAAACATGCTCCTGATGTTGATCTTTTGTCTCTAAACAATCTGTGGAAATAGACCGAAGATGGAAGATGTTATTGTTGTTAAACAAAATCATCCTTTGGTAACTTCAATTTATTGAAACTGAAACTTCTAATATTGCAGATTGTGTTTAATGGAATTAAAATGATTGGAGTCAATATAATAAACTTGCACTTAGAAGGGAAAAATACAATATTGTGCTTTGCGTTCTTTTTCATAAGTTTCTTTATTTACTGGCCAGGGATTAGGAAATATCATCTCATTATCTGATGAGCCAGGTATTTTGATCTTCCCGCTGGTGATTTGGAGGATTAGTCCAGTGGACAGAAATTATGGTGTTTCCACCGGTGAGTCTAAATCTATTGTGCTATATATAAAATTGGTATCAACTGATGCACTATTTCTTTCTGCAGTCAATGGCATAAATATACTTGAATATCGGGCCCGTCTTCTCATTATTCATGCACTACTTTCCCTAGTACTCATCCATGCGTAAAAAGCGAGTAGAAAAATTGTATGGTTGAAAGCACAGAAAAGAGTGAGTATAGAAATGAAATCTCACTCGGAAGCAACAAAACACTTTTCCTATTACAACCATTGTTTTCATTTCTCAACTGCAGCGATTACTCAGCTGAGACACCAATATAGTTGCGGCACGTATGGAAGCTTCGACTTGAAAAAGGATGGTATGGTCATGTTTTCAGATGGCGCGTTATGACAAAAATGACTACTAATATCTTCATGAGCGACATCTCCAAACTTAATCAAGTTATGAAAATTCATGGCGCGTTTACTCATACTTGCATTGGCTCTTTTATGTGCTAAGCTTTCTTTTGAAAATAATAATGAAAAGGAAGAATTTTGGAATTAAGACTAAATATGTTTTTTCCTCCGGTTCTTTCATAATTCTTATCTTTGCCGATGGAGTATTTCGTTAGTTATATAGAGACGGCTCTGTAGAGTATCATCTTGCAATGAATATCTTATAGCAGATCTTTTTTTTTATGCAGTGGAGTTTGAGATTGATGACTCCAGTAATGGTGATACAGTAGGAAATGTTACTACTTGAGAGGTTAGCAGTAGCATAGCTGACAAAGACAAAGTTCACTGTAATTGTTTCGATCCAACAGAAGAACATGATCAAGATGATAATATGACTCAAGATTCTTCTAGAGTGGACCAAATTTTGTTTGCAATTCCTGCATTATCAACTGTTAGAACAGTTGATGAGCCCTATATGGGTCAGGAGTTTGTATCAGAAGCTGTTACAGCGACATAAGCAGCCTGTTACTATACTTTCTTACTTGTATAACAATTAGGAAGCAAATTGTTTTCTTCATGGTTTGACCCATTTGCTAAAGTATAACTGATTTGTATTTGTGTGTAGGGAGGAAAATTGAAAGAAGTGCATGAAGTCCACATGCTTAATGCTACATTCTGCAATCTGCAGTATGTTTATATATACTGCACCACTTATTCATAGGTCTCTCTTTTCTAATGTATTGTGTTTAGGTTTCATAGTTTTTGATTCAACAAGCTCATGAGCTGCTCTGTCATGACATCCAGTATCATTATACGTTGACTAATATCTATATTAGGTGAATACAAAAGATTGTGCAGTGTGTCGAGTAACTCGAATTGACACGTGACTGCCAAGGCAATTAATGCTCTTTGCCTTTTGTCTTTTGTCGATTCTTCTCCACCTTCTAAAGCTATATCACAATAACAGACCTGAGAAGACTTCTGGTAAGATCCTTTACAGAGTGTTTTAGTTCATCTGGGGATGCTCTTATGAGCTTTTCCACCACATCAAAAGCTCTTTCCACCTGCAACCAAGGTAAAAATTTACAAAGCATTAAACTTTTAGCAAATAGGTTTGTGAATATATATCTCCTATTGAATGTTTTTCACATGTAGAAAAGTAAGTTTCTATCATCATAAACTGATTCATATTTCAGGTCTCTCCCATTAATAGCCATCTCACAAAGCTTTACGGTATTCATCAGCATAGCATTCCTACTAACAAAGCTTAAAATCCTAAATACCAATGTCGGTCGTCTAGCATTATCATCCTTGATGTTTACTGATGTTGTTAGTCTCCCTATGGTAACACTTATTTTTGAAATATTACAGATTAAACATAGTAATAAGAGTATGCTGACACTACTATGGATCCTTCTATACATAGGTGCACTTTTGGTTGTTATCTTCTATGTAATAAGACCGACAATAATATGGTATCTGGGCCAGTTAAATGAAAATCTGATCGAAGAACTTTGCTTTTTCTGTATCATTATGTGTGTCTCTTCACTTTATTTTGCAGTGAGTTCGTTGGACAAGACTGTTTTGTTATTTTTTGGTTTAATGCTTTCAATATGTGAATATACCTTATTTTGAGTGTTGAAAATGGTATTCGTTTCGTGAAGCTTTATGCACCATGGTGCCGCTTCTTTCAGGTAAAATCAATTTTATATAACAAAGGGATTAAAATTCTTTCATGAGATTGTCCAAATTTTTGCAGACCGTTGCAACTGAGGACCTGTACAAGTGATCACAACAGTATAAAATCAATTTGCAGCAGTACAATAGTCAGATTCAGTCAAGTCTGAAAACAGTTAATGAGGCGAATAAACGAATGGAAACAGAGAAATCAAGTATTGTTGAGAACCTTAGCAGTGTAAGAGGCCACAATGGTTTTTACATCTCTATGGTTTTATTCATTATTGCTACAATCTTCACACTCCTAATAATGAATGGTAACTCCTTTTCTTCTACTGTTCTATAGATGTGTATTTCTTTTCATTTATTCCTTAGAAATTCTGTCATTATCTATTTTTAATCCCGTGATAGTAAATGTTGTGATTAGTATAAAAAGAATTATAATACTGTTGTGATCTTGTGAACCATTGTTTTTCTTGTCTGATACACGTAGTGTAGGTTCTCTCGGTTGGTGGGATTTATTTATTAACTTCAGGTAGGTTTCTATCATAAGCTATGCTCTCTGATAATTAACTTTGTGTTTATTAGATTGCTGACTTGAATATATGGTTTTTATATATTATCCATGCAGTATTGTAGAGTGATTTGAGTTTCTTGTATGTGTAAATTGAAAGTATATTATCCATCAAGCATGCTACATAGTTGATACATTTTCATTCTTGCTCATTTTTTACATGTAAGGGTCTGAACTACTGTATGTGTTGTATGCAAATCATGGCATGCTTTCTATTCTGTTCATGTTCTTTCTGCATGTGTTAAATTACTATGCTGTTATAAAGATAAAATATTTTCTTTTAGTATCACAGAGCTACTGGGAGTCCAAGATATGTTTTCTAAAATATATTATTTGTTTTCACCAACTTTTAAATTGCAACCATGAAGTTTAACAGTGATCGAATTTCACTGCAGCAATCACATTTAGAGCCAAAATTGAGCGAATTAGAAAATAAAATACACTCAAAATAACAGAAATTATCAAATTGTAGCCTAACTCGCCATGAAGATTGATTTGTGTGTATTTTTTCTTGGAAGTTAGTTAGTCTAATACGGTGAGTTTTAGTCATTTAGAATTTAATGTGTTTTAATTTCCTTTCAATTCTACGTATATTAAAATATCATTGTAGTCCCTTAGCAAACATTGATTATCTTCATTGTTAATGTTTTGTTCTATTATAAATGAAAGCCACAAGGCTTGAGAGTGTTTCTAATCTATTACGTTTATTTTAGATTCGTATTTGCTAAACTGGAGAGGTGTAGGTTTGTCCAACAGTTATCAGACTCCATACTATCGGACTCCGTCTTCTAACAAACAAAGGGTTGTAGAGGAGTCTGAGTCAGAGTTGGAAGACGATCGACAAAGATATGCAGGACTAGAAGCAACAAAATCAGGTGAAAAGCCTGAGGTGGTTGTTCTAGGTACCGGTTGGGCTGCTTGACGGTTTCTTAAGGGGCTACCAGAATTTATGATGTTGTATGCATATCACCAAGGAATAACATGGTTTTCACTCCTTTATTGGCTTTGACATGTGTTGGTACACTTGAATTCAGGTTTGTTGTCGAGCCTATTGGTAATATACAAGATGCACTTTCAAAGGATCTCAATTCACACTTCTTTCTAGCTTCTTGCACAAACATTGACACAAACAAACATGAAGTGGCTGAAACAATTTTCTCCTCTTTTAGAAAAACTATACTGTTACTATAGAATGTTCAATGTCAAATATTGATAGCTAATAATTACTGTATGTACAAAGTTATTTTTTATAGTGAAATGTTTAGTTAATCTTAATTTCAACAGTTATACTGTGAGACCATAAATAAAATTTATTAGTTTTGTTTAATCTACGTAAATATCCTTAAAATAATCTATGAAATCAAATATAGGAAAAAATATGTTATTTTTTAATTATTTATATTATTAATATTTTTATTTTTAATTTAAGAAAAAATATTCTTTTAAATATAAATAGAAAATTTATTTATATATTATTGATGTAATTATTTTACTAATATATGTTACTAATGTAAATAAGAGAAATATATGTTTTTTTTTAATAATTTAATAAAACAAATTTCTAAATAAAAACATAGAATTTTAATTTTTTTTTTTGTAAATGAGAACAATTAATTTAAATATTTTTATAATTAATATTAAAAAAATTATATTTATAATTCAAATATAAATAACAATATGTCCCTCTTTTGAAAATAATAACTATTTTGTTAACTATATAAGTCTTATATTATTCATATTCTTTTATTATTATCAATATACATCATTTCTATCAATTATATACTATTTTCTATTAAAAATAGAAAATGTAATAAATAAAGTATTTATATTTTATTTAAATATGGTAAATTCATGACTCTTGAACAAAAATATACTTTAATTGTAATTATTTTGTCTTTATATATAAACTTTTAGTTCAATGTAAATGTCAAATCAATACTCATAAACACATAATTATTATACTAGTTATAATATAAAGAAAGTTGCACTAAGAAGAAGAGTTACGTGAAATATATATGTTCCGAAAGTTTTCTTTCAAACAAAATGTAAAAATATTCTCTTTTGTGTTAAATTGTAATTCATAGTGTCAAAGGAGATTTGATTTGTTTTAGATTTAAATAGATTTGATTTAAGTTTAGAATAGATTTGATTTGATTTGATTTAGTAACAAAAAGATATTTTGGGCTTTGGGCTTAGGGTGTAAGCTCAGTTATAAATAGAAGGAGTAACCCCTATTTTTGTAAGTAAGTCAAGCAAGTCAATTCATTGTAATCACAGAATTTGCAGTTGCAAGTGATTAAGAAAGTTTTTCCACAGTTTGTGGGCAGAGAGAAACTCTGCAGAAATATTTGTCTTGTCTTCTTTTCTTTATTTTTCTCATAACTAATTGTCATTGTGGTAGAAATTCATCATAGTCTTTTGGTGGATTTCCAACATCTGGTATCAGAGCTTTTGTTTCGATTCAAGGGAAGTGTTAATCAAGAACGATTGAAGAATTCACGATGACAAGTTATGGGAATGGAAACTATCCAGCAACGCTACCAATTCTGAAAGTTGACAACTATGAGAATTAGTGCAAACAGATGAAAGTCTTATTAAGGTGTCAAGGTCTTTGGGATCTTGTAAAAGATGGAGTCGAAGCGCTTGGCGAAAACGCTTCAGAAGAAGAAAAGAAGAAATACACAGAATCTGAGAAGCTGAGTTATAAAGCATTATTTATAATTCATCAATGTGTCAGCCCAGACAATTTCAAAAAGATTAGTGATTCAGAATCTGCAAAAGAAGCTTGGGAGATCCTTGAGAAGTCTTTTGGAGGCGCTGAGAAGGTGAAAGAAGTGAGGTTACAAACTCACAAAAGGACCTATGAACTGCTTCAGATGGAAGACAGTGAAAACATATCTGATTTCTTCACTAGAGTTACAAAACTAGTAAATCAAATCAAGATATGTGGAGAAGCGTTAACAACAAGAGTTGTTGTGTCGAAGATCTTGAGATCTTTAGCTCCTAAGTTCGACCACATAGTGGTGGCGATAGAAGAGGGGAAAGACTTGTCGAAATTGACAAAGGAAGAGCTTCAAGGGACGCTTGAATCTCATGAACAAAGAATGAACGAAAGAGCTGCAGGAAAATCGAAGAGTGATGTGGCCCTGCAGGCACATTCAGCAAAAGAGACCAAAGGCAAAGGAAAGTGTTTCGACAGAAGTAGAGGTGGCTACAACAAATCGAATGGTAGAGGAAACCAAATCGAAGGAGACGTTTCGAATCAAAGAAGACCATACCAAGGCAACCAAAGAGGTGGTGTTGTAAATAGAGGAAGAGGTGGTGGTCGAAAACCTGATAAGAGTCACATTCAATGTTACAATTGTCAGAAATATGGATACTATTCGAGTGATTGTCCAGAAAAACGAAAGAATCAAGAAAGTGATGCAAAGCTTGCAAAACATGAAGAAGAAGAGATGATGTTGATGGTCACAACAAGAGATGAAGATAGATTCAAGGACCAATGGTACTTGGATTCAGGATGTTCATCACATATGTCTGGAAGGAAAGACTGGTTCGTCAATATAAAACCCTCAACAAAAAATATGGTAAAATTTGCAAATGACAATACCCTAGAAGCTGAAGGTATTGGTGATGTTATGATCATGAGGAAAGATGGCAAGAGGTCAGTAATTTCCAATGTATTGTACATACCAGGCATGAAGAGCAATTTGCTCAGTATAGGGCAGTTGGTCGAAAATAATTATAAAGTGTCAATCGAAGATAAGTTGATGAGAGTCGTTGATGCAAATGAGAGATTAATCTTGAAGGCTCCTATGTATCAGAATCGAACCTTCAAGATTGAACTAAATGTGATGGAGCACAAGTGCCTTTCGACTGCAGCTAGCAGAGATGAATGGATATGGCATTATAGACTAGGCCATCTCAACTTCAGAGACATCAGAGATTTGAAGAGAAGAAATATGGTTTCAGAATTGCCTGAAATTGACATTCCAAACGAAGTATGTGAAGAATGTGTGCAGGCGAAGCAACACAAGAATAACTTCAGCAAGGATGCAGGAAGCAGATCGAAGGCTAGTCTTGAAGTCATATACTCTGATGTATGTGAACCAATCCAGGTGGATTCGATGGGAGGTAACAAATACATTGTTACATTCATAGATGATTTCAGTCGAAAGCTATGGACTTACCTGATCAAGAAGAAAAGTGAAATGATCAAAGTATTTACCAGGTTTAAGTCTATGATCGAAAGACAAAGTGGTCGGAAGCTCAAAGTTTTGAGAACTGATGGTGGTGGAGAATATGTGTCGAAAGACTTCGAAAAATTATGTGAAAAGGAAGGGATTATGCATGAGGTGGTGCCACCCTATACTCCACAACAAAATGGAATTGCAGAAAGGAAAAATCGAACCATCATGAATATGGTGAGAAGTATGTTGAAAGGCAAGAGTTTACCTAAAGAGTTTTGGGGTGAAGCTGTTTCGACTGCAACATACATTTTGAACAGATGTCCTACAAAAAAGCTAGAAGGAATTACTCCAGAAGAATGTTGGTCTGGTGTGAAGCCTAGCTTGAGTCATCTGAAGGTATTTGGATCTATTGCACATAGACATGTGCCAGATCAGTTGAGAAGAAAACTTGATGACAAGTCAAGTCAAATGATCCTAGTTAGATATCATTCGACAGGAGGCTACAAGTTGTTCGATCCAGAGAACAAGAAGATCGTGATCAGCATGGACGTGATCATAGATGAGTTTAAAGAATGAGATTGGACTGCAAATGTCAAGAAAGATTCAGTAGGAATCCTATTCGAAGAGCCAGAAACTCAAGTCGAAAGAGAAGTTCGACAAGAGGAACCAGCAGATATACCAAGTACAAGCAGACCTCAAAGAACAAGATGCATGCCTGCAAGATTGCAAGATTGTGTGATTACATCAGATGATGTAATAGATAATGAAGGTGAGCTGGTACATTATGCTTTCTATGCAGATGTCGAACCTGTTAATGCAGCTGAAGCATTAAAAGATTCGAAGTGGGTGAAAGCAATGAACGAAGAAGTAAAGTCTATCGAAGACAACAACACTTGGTCACTTGTCGAATTGCCTCAAGGCAAGAAGGCAATTGATGTCAAGTGGGTATACAAAGTGAAAACGAATTCGAAAGGTGAAGTAACTCGACACAAAGCAAGACTTGTGGCGAAAGGATTTCTACAGAAAGAAGGAATAGACTTCGACGAAGTTTTTGCACCTGTTGCTAGGATCGAAACAATCAGGTTAGTTGTTGGTCTAGCAGAAATAAACAGTTGACACATATGTCAGATGGACATGAAGTGTGCATTCCTAAATGGACCCTTAGATGAAGAAGTCTATGTTAAACAACCAGTTGGGTTTGTGAAACATGACGAAGAAAGAAAGGTGTACAGGCTACATAAAGTCCTGTATGGATTGAAACAAGCTCCAAGGGCTTGGAATAAGAAAATTGATAGTTTTCTAAGGGAGAAGGAATTTGTGAAGTGCATAACTGAACATGGAGTATATGTAAGAAGAAGCAAGAGTAAATTGCTTATACTATGTCTCTATGTAGATGATTTGTTGATAACAGGTAGCTGCAAGAGTGAGATCGAAGACTTCAAATGTGATCTCAGCAAGGAATTCAAAATGTCTGATTTGGGTGAGATTTCATATTTCCTTGGTATCGAATTCTACAAGAGCAGTAGAGGTTTGATGATGCATCAAAGAAGATATGCAGGAGAAATTCTCAAGAGGTTTGAGATGGAAGAATGCAACTCAACTTCGACACCTGCAGAACCAAGACTGCAATTGTCGAAAGATGTAGATGAAGAAGATGTTGATCCAACCCAATACAGAAAACTTATTGGATCATTGAGATACCTTTGTCATACAAGGCATGACTTAGCATACAATGTAGGTATGGTAAGTAGATTCATGCAGAAGCCAAAGGTATCACATCTAGCAGCAGTGAAGAGGATACTAAGGTATCTCAAAGGAACTTTCGATTATGGCATTTTGTTTCCTGCAGTTGATAAAGGAAAAGAATGCAAGTTAGTGGGATACACTAATTCGAGTTGGTGTAGTGATGCTGAAGATCGAAAGTTAACAGCAGGATATGTGTTTATGCTAGGTGGTGCACCAATTGCTTGGAATTCAAGAAAGGAACCAGTAGTGGCATTATCATCATGTGAAGCAGAATACATAGCTGCTTCTCTTTGTGCATGTCAAGCAACTTGGATGATGAGCTTGGTCGAAGAGATAACAGGGAAAAATCATGGAGCAATTACCATGAAGATAGACAACATGTCAGCTATTAATCTGGCGAAGAATCCAATAGCACATGGTCGAAGTAAGCACATCGAAATGAGATTCTATTATCTTCGAGAGCAGGTAGCAGATGGGAAGATGAATTTGGAACACTGCAGAACTGAGAATCAGATTGCAGACATCATGACGAAGGGAGTGCAAGTCGAAGTATTCAAAAAGCTAAGAGCCATGATGAACATAGACAGTTTAGACACAATGAATTAGGTGGTGTGTTAAATTGTAATTCATAGTGTCAAAGGAGATTTGATTTGTTTTAGATTTAAATAGATTTGATTTAAGTCTAGAATAGATTTGATTTGATTTGATTTAGTAACAAAAAGATATATTTTAGGCTTTGGGCTTAGGGTGTAACATCAGTTATAAATAGAGGGAGTAACCCCTATTTTTGTAAGTAAGTCAAGCAAGTCAATTCATTGTAATCACAGAATTTGCAGTTGCAAGTGATTAAGAAAGTTTTTCCACAGTTTGTGGGCAGAGAGAAACTCTGCAGAAATATTTGTCTTGTCTTCTTTTCTTTGTTTTTCTCATAACTAATTGTCATTGTGGTAGAAATTCATCATAGTCTTTTGGTGGATTTCCAACATTTTGAACATTGAATTTTGTAGCATTTAAAAATAAATGAAATGTATTGAGAAATTCTCAAAATATATTATAGTTTGTTGTACGACAATGGCCATCCCTTTCTTTTCTTTCTTTTTTCTCCTTCGTCAAAATCAAGTCTAATAGAATCAACTATTTTCTATTAAAATAAATTATCATAAAACTTTCAATAATATCTTTTACTTTAAAAAATTTATATTTATAAAAAGTTAAAATAATAAAAATTTAATTTTTCAATTAATTCACCACACTTAAACTAAATGCTACAAAATATCAAATTCTTTGACATTTTTTCAACTTTCACACTTTCTTCCACTTTTTACTTTTTCGGTTACCATCCTCATTCTTCATTCAAATTAGATTTAATTTTTTTTTAAATTTATTTCTCTTGATTATTTTTAATATATTAAAATATATAGTCATAGTATATGATTATGATATTAAATATTTATTGGTGTATAAATATATACAATATTGATATTTAGTTTTGTTTTACGAAAAATTTGATAAATTTTATTTATTTATTATTATTAAAAATATGAATTAATCTATATTAAATTTTAATAAAATTAAAATTTTATTTTATGAAATTAGATAATACTAAATAGCCATACACGCAATTAATTTTCCATCTCGCAGATAATTATGAGAAAAATAACTATTTTATTTTAAATTTAATACATTTTTTAATTCTTTAACTTAATTTAAAATTTCACTTTAATCATTTATCTAATAAACATTATATATTAGTCTCTTAAAAACAGTTTTGTTAACTAATTTAATTTTTTTTATTAAATGTTTGAAAAAACATTAACTTTTGTGTATGTGGTAGTCTAAGTGCCTTTTTTAATATATTAATTTTTATAATGAAAAACTTGAAACACTTTGAAACCCTATTTCTACCTTTAAACAAAATATCAAATTTTTAATTTTTTTTAAATATATATCCTGACTAAGTAATTAATTTATTGTCTTTCTAGCATGCCATATCATCAGTAATTAACAATTTTTTTACAATTTAACAAAAATGATTAAGTTAGAATTTAATAAAAATGATTAAATTGATTAACAAAATTGTTTTTAAGGATCTGAAATGTAATATTTATTAAATAAGAGATTAAAATGAAATTTAAAATTAAATTAAAAGATTTTATTATTAATTAAGTCTTTATTTTAATTAATAATTTTTATTTTTAAATGTTAAAATTTTTTTATCAGTCACTATCAATAAAATACTTATTTTTTTATTAGTATTCACAATTACTTTTTATTTGAGACATATAATTTTTATTTTTTAAATATTAAAATTTTCTTTTTTCCACATACCATTATCAACAAAATATTTATTATTTTAATTAATAATCATTTTTATTTGAAACACAAAATTCTTATTTTTAAATGTTGAAATTTTATTTTTTTTCTTATCTTCATTTTACAATATTTTTTTTGTTTTTATATAATTATTAAATAAAATTGAATTTCTATTATTATTATTATTATTATTATTATTATTATTATTATTATTATTATTTTAAATTAAATAACTCATTTAAATTTATACAAATATTTAAATAAAATTTATATTATATTAAATAAATTAATTTGTGCGAATATTGTGTTAATTTTATTAGTCAATGATATTAAGAAAATGATAAAAAGAAGAGAGAGATTTTGAGTAGAGAAGAAATTCCTTTATTCCTTCGTTGACACATTTTGCAGCAACTATAGCCTATAAGCATTCGGCCGGTGAAAAAAAAAAGCAAAAATGAGACAGTTTGAAGAATTGTGTGAAGGATGCATCGCCACTGTAGTCTCTCGTACAACTCCCGTTGACGCCTGCAGACTCTCCCTCGTTTCCAATACTTTCCGTTCTGCTGCAGAATCCGACGCTGTCTGGAATCAATTTCTTCCTTCCGATTCTCAATTCATGGACTCTATCATCTCTAATTCTCCTTCACTTGCCAACGTTCCTTCCAAAAAGTCTCTCTACTTAGCTCTATCTGATCGCCCTATCATCATCGACAATGGTTTAAAGGTGTTATTCTCTCCGATTTCTTGAATGTTACGTTGACTTTGTAGTAAATAAACTCAATTCTTAACACAGAGCTTTCAATTGGATAGAAAGAGTGGAAAAATATGTTACATGCTAGCAGCTAGATCTTTATCCATTGCTTGGGTCGATGATGAGCGCTATTGGAAGTGGATCCCTATGCATAACTCCAGGTTAGCTTAGCCCTTAAGTTTTGTATTTTTTTTTAATTTTTTTTTTGTGTTAATATTACTATCCTTATCACTCAACATTTTTTAATGTTTGTTTTAAAGTTATTTGCTATCATATTTTCAACTGCCTGTTGGTAAATCTTCTAAACCAATTAAGTGAAGAGTGATTGACCAGAATCTGACAATGTGGAGTTCTATGTTACATCATATATCAAAATCCATAGCTACTTTCTCAGGTTCAAACCCAAATAGAAAACACATTCTGTCAAACCAATGCTTGTACCCCCATCGATAACACTTGACAACTAAATTGCATCCAACTTCAACTTGAAGCACCAAGATCCTTCATTTGTAAAGAGGGAGTTATTGCTTCATCTACGTAGTTCTTATTTGGATCCTAATTGCTGCAACAACTTATCCTATTTATTTTTCAATGCATCATTTTACCAAAATTTTAAAATCTCTGTCCAATTTAGTTGTTACTTTACCATTATTGATGCAGTTCCTATTTAAACCTTTGTATTACTAGTTTACTACACATGTTCCTGAAGAATTGACTTTGCATGATTTGTTTTTAGTTCCTACAGTCAAGTTTAATTTGATTTCTAACCTTCGACACCAACTGATACTTTCAGATTTTCTCCACTTCCTCTATTCTAATTGCAACTTTTTGACAGGTTCTCCCAAGTCGCAAAGCTTCACATTGTGTGTTGGTTTGATATTCATGGGATGATAAGCATGCGTGACTTGTCCCCAAATACTCAATATGCGGCTTATCTTGTGTTCAAGTTGATTAATGCCTCAGGGTTTCGGAATCCGGATTCTCCTGTGGAAATATCAGTAGGCGTCGAAGGTGGCCATAGGAGTACTAAAACTGTCTATTTGGATCCGAATGTGGAAGATAGGTCTCACAGCGGAGAAGTAGGATTGCGACAACCTAGTGTGAGAAATGATGGGTGGTTAGAGATTGAGATTGGAGAGTTTTTCAATTCAGGCCTAGAAGATGAAGAAGTCCAGATGAATGTTAAAGAGACAAATGATTATACTTCGAAGATGGGTCTGTTTGTTGAAGGAATAGAAGTTAGGCCTAAGTAAGACAATTAAACCACATTTACTGAACTATGCAAGGGGTCTTGCATTTTGTTTCAAGTATTGTTGCTTGGCACAGTTCATTACTGGTTGTATTAGTTATTGTAGTATAATATATTGGAATTACTGTTATTCTGTGAACTATCACTGTATAATTTATTGTCATGCAATACCAATTTTATGCTATTTATTCATTTTAATAGTATGAGTGAATCAAAATATAAATATAGTAAAAAAAAATTAAAAAGACTCAATTTAAATAATCAAAAATCATGGAGAAGGAAGTTATTTTTGTTATGAATTATGAATATCACAATGTATAAGTATATGTATACGTATAGGTGATATTAACTTGTATCATAAAAACAGATGTTAAGAAAGAAAGTTATAAATAAAAGTGTGCTAAAAAAACAAAAACAAAAATTATAAATTTTTATTAAAATCAATGCATAATTTTAAAACAATTTTTCTATTTAATTTTTAACTTGTGTCATTAGAATACAAAATAACATTATTCTCTTTATTTTATTTTTACAATTTATAAGCTTTAAGAAACATAAAAATTAAATGCCGGCCATATTAGATCAAAATTTTGATATTAAAATACATATATTTTTTCATTGTTTTAATGGATTGATTAGAATAGAAGCAATGTTTCTTAATGTTTATGTTAAGACATTACACATTTATATCATATAGTTTGGGTTAAATAAACATAAAACTGGTGATGCTCTTTTGGAAATACATAAATTTGCAAAAGCATGGAACACTACTGATTACACCCATTAATAATAATAAAAATTCTTTAACAAGATTAATATTTTTCTTTTTTTTAGTAAATTTCTTTTTCGGTGGATTGATGTTTTTATATTTATTTTTTAAGTTTAATTATCATTTTTATCTTTTATTTTTATTTTCTCAAGTTTTGATGTCTCTGTTTTAAAATTTAATTTTATTACTTTCTCCGTTTTAAAATGACTCTCTTTTAAGATTTTTGCACACAAATTAAAGAATACAATAATATTATCTTAACACATTACACATTTATAAAATTGACCTTATTAATGTATTGAAAATAGTGTCCAGAATAAAAAGTAAAAAGTATAATTAGAAAAATGATAATAATTACTATATTGAAAATTGAAAATATCAATTATTTTAAAGTAAAATTTATTTACTAAAATAAAAATCATTTTAAAACTGAGGAAATAATATTAAATTTGATTTACTGGAGGCTATCATACTTACTTGCATCATCTTTAATGTTAAATTTGATTAAAAAAATTATATATTCTTTAATTATAACATTACAATTTTTATTTAACTTATTTATTATTAATTATATAATATAAATTTAAAATGTTAAAAAAATTAATTATACGATATAATAATACTTTAAACTAACAAAAGTTTTGGAAAAAAAATCAGATTATAAAAGAAAAATAAAATTATATTTCCACATTATTAGAATTGATGTGGTTCAACTGATAATTTATTGGCTTGACAATTAATCTAGTGACCTAATAGTTCGATCGAATCGATGATCAATTTAGGTTTTAAAACATTACATATGCCCATTAAAAACTTTGTCTTCAAGATTCAAATTTAAAGTGACATGTGTCAGCCAAGGAATAATAGTTGTGATAGAATAATTTATTGAATGAAATATTTGATTGTTCGGGGGTAATTTTAGACCAATAAACTATATATAACATATAATACATATGCATTGCCAAATTTACCCTTTGTTAAAATAAAATTACACCATGTAAGATCTATTATTTAAATTAACAAATGACAAAAAATAAAGAGACTAAACTTCTCTTTATTGTGTATTTGAATGACATGCTTAATTCAGAATCTCTCTCAATTATAGAGGTGATATAATAACGCTTGTTTTTATGTTCTTTATTTTCTTCAGTGTAACTCTCTATCTTTTCCTTTGGCTCTTGCCTCAAATGTCTTATTGGGGGATTGTCTTTTCTTTGGATTTTCTTCCCTAGTCCTCTTACCATCTTTAGTATATTCAGATAGTCGACCTTTCTTGATAAGTCATTCGATTGCATCCTTGAGTTGAATGCAATCGTTGATATTATGGTCGTGGATTTTATGGAAACAATAATATTTTGATCTATCAATTCGGGAGAAATTTCTGATTGAATATTGATTTCTTATCTCGACTTCCTTAAGTTATGTGTTAGCGCACTCTATAAGGATCCTTTCGCATGAAGCGTTTAATAGGGGTGCAATAGTCAAATTTTGAGCGAGGTCTTCGCTCGTGCTCTTCTCTAGAATTTTTGAATTATTTTTCTATCATTCGGTCGGATCCACATATACATAGTTTTTGGCCTCCTCCATCAACTAACATTTTATTCTCATACTTAACGTATGGTCGAGCTCTACTTAGTAGTTCTTTTAGGCAGTGGGATTCTTTGCGGCCCATTTTTATTTGAATGTGCTGTCAGGTTAGAGTTCTTTTTCAAAGATCCAACACTTAAGACTTTCATCCGTTCCTCCTATGACTACCGCTACCTTGGTGAATCAGTCAATATAACATTAACACTTTCAAAATATTTTCAAAAACACTTTGTATACACTCTTGAGGACTGATACAAGAATCATTACAAAGTCAGCCTTACATTGACGATTTCAAAATATTTTCAAATCACAAACACACAAAGCAAGTTTTTTCAAAGTGAGTGTTGTACCCCAAAATTTGCCCTCTCATGTTTTCAAAGGTCTTCCCTTACATGGTTGGTCACAAACACTTGCCTAAGGAAAATAAAGTTTTTTGAAGATGAACAAAGTTTCTTTCGATTGGCATCTGGGAAAAGTCTTCGATTGGGCATCCAAAATCCTTCGATCAGGCTTGGTTCACCAGTCTTTGATTGGGCATTTGGCACTCTTCGATCAGGTTTTGGTTCACCAGTCTTTGATTGGGCATTTGGCACTCTTCGATCAGGCTTGACTCACCAGTCTTCGATTGAACGCTGGACACTCTTCGATCAGGCTTTGATTAGTAAGCTTCGATTGAGCGCTGGACCTCCTTCGATCAAGCTTTGGTGTGCAAGTCTTCGATTGAGCGCTGGACCTCCTTCGATCAAGCCTTGATGTGCAAGTCTTTGATTGAGCGCTGGACCTCCTTCGATCAAGCCTTGATGTGCAAGTCTTCGATTGAATGCTGGACCCCTTCGATCAAGTCAATTTCACAAATGCTTCGACTAGTACTTCAGAGGGTCCTTCGACTGGAACTTCATACTTTACCTCAATCAGAACATCAGAACGAAATGACCTTCAAATGGCATTTCAGTGCAGAGTTTCTCTTAATCTAAGATGCTCTGATGAAGGAAGTTTTGGACACTTCAAATCAGAACTTAGACTCATCACAAGGCCAAGGGCTGGTCAAAGTTGTCTAATAGGGAATGCTCTAAATAGATTCGAATTGGACTTTGAAGTTGGCAAAGAAGGCAGATTCGAAGGAAGGAAGTAGGCTGGCATGACTAGGCAAAAAAAACACATATCCTAACCTGTCCAGAATACCCAAAGTTCACAATGGCATGTGTCCCTTGCAAATATGCAATCGAAGCAGGGGGAGTCTCAATCGAAGGGGCTGTGACTGGAGTAGTTCGAATTGGGACTTTGAAGCAATTGAAGAGAGCAAATTCAAAGGGGCGAGTCAGCTTTTGATTTCCATCATATTGGAGGCTCAAACAGCTCATAACAGGCTGGCAGTAACGCATGGAAATAGATTGGAACCTGATTGAATCAAATATAGCAAGTCTTTATGAAGAAATCAAATCAAATCTCTTCATCATAATGGACCAAGATTTGATACACAAATGTTGACCTAATTTCCTTGGCTATATAAACCTCATGCTCATAAACAAATCAGACACGAAACCCTGCTGCAGACACACGTGAAAGACACAAAAAAAGACACAGAAACTCTGCAGAAACGGCGCCACAACTTTGAGAAAAAGCTTGATAATCTTGGATCTGAAGTTGCGCTTAGAGACCTTTTCAGGACCAAACAAAGGTTTCGATCGCCTGCCAGTAACCTCCTGAAGCGAGACCAATCAAAAGCCAAGCCTCTCACTGCCTCTAACGCACTGTAAGCCCCCTTGAACCTTGCTTTGTACATGGAATCGTAACTCAGTTTTTATGCATCTTTGTGCCAAATTTCTTGCATATTTGTATTAACTATTAAATTCCTAAGCAAACTGCATTATTTGATTGTATTTTCGTGATCTCTAACCCCATATCCAGAACCTAGGGTTCTCGTGTATGTTTTTTAGGCGTTTTATGTGCAGGTTAAATCAAGGCCAACAATGGCCACAATTGAATTCAGGGGAGTGAGACGAGTATAGTAGTACTCTTGGATTCCATCGTTGTGACCTAGGGAGCATTTTAGAACCATCCCACGAAACCTCCTGTAGATAAAAATCCACAGGTAACCAAACCAGGTCTTGTGAAGAAGACGATTATGTGGTGGAGCGTGATTGGTTCATTTGAATCAATTGCGCGTTTTTTATTTTTTGGCCAGGCATAATTATTGTTTGTATATAATATTTGTTTTCCATTTAACTAACGAATGAAGCTGGTTGGTGAAGCGTGCGTTGCAGAACCCCCTGGGACCTGGATTCGAATCCCAGGTCCCCCAAAACTTTGTTACCTTTTTTCTTCAGGTACTCAGATGCAGCGCTTCAGGCAGGGACTACCATACGTCCTCAGATCTCAACGTGCCAGGTGGTTCCCAGGCAGATCCAATGGCTAAGGATGAAGGTTCACCATGAACCTTGGTCAGCAAACGCCCAGGCAATCTGAAAGTCCAACAGACTGGACGTTTGGGCCTGGAAATTGCAGTTCATACTCCCTTTACGAGCCCAACACCCCTGAGTTTGTTTCTTTATTTTTCTTTTCACTGTTTTTTTATCATAATTAATTAATTAACTAATTAACTCTTTTTCATAAAAAAAATCAGAAACAACAAAAATATTTTTATTTTA